ACAAGTACGCGAAGGAAGTGGTTTACCGGTTAGACTTTTTGAAAATAAATTTACTCCACCAAAGAAAAACGAAATGTTTTAAATCTCGATCTTGTTTACCTGCGTGTAGTAAATTCATCATACAATCATACAGACCCCATTAAAATAAACGTATACGAATGAAACGGAATACTTTGGGACAGTTTAGTTTCTACTCAGCGGCCTCTTTGCAAACAACAAAATGTTTTATGTTCCAGTCTGGTTTAAACGTTAGCGTATCAACGTGCACAGCCACTGAATGAAAACAACGGTCACGATCAAGTTATTTAAAACCGACCAGACGCGCGCGACCTACCACTGTTATAGTATAGCGATTATGCTGAAGGTGTTATTAATATAACATCCCTGATGCTGTCATCTCATGGATTACCGACTATCTCACCTCGCGCAAACAGAGTGTTAAACTCGGCCACGACTGCTTTTCAGAATGGGGCGCGGTCCCAGCGGGGGTTCCTCAAGGTACAAAACTAGGGCCGTGGCTGTTTATCATCATGATCAACGAGCTGGATGTTCCTGGCACTGATCTCTGGAAGTATGTCGATGATACCACTATTTCGGAGACGATAAGCAGGAACCCAGACAATCACATTCAAGCTGCTGTTGACACCCTAGCAAGCCGTGCGACCGAGACTAAACGAGACGAAATGCAAAGAACTGCTTATAAACTTTAACACTAACAACCCTACTTCTTTCGATCCAGTTGTTGTTAATGGCATGCCTATTGATTTAGTTACTAGTGCCAAAATACTGGGCCTTAACATCTCCAATGATTTTAAATGGAATTGTCACATTGACTCCATTATTAAGAAAGCTAAAAAGCGCTTGTACACCTTATCTCAGCTTAAACGCTCTGGTCTTGGTACCCGTGAGTTAGTCCAGTTTCTCTGAACTTGTATTCGTCCGATCACAGAGTACGCGTGTCCTGTCTTTCATGACGCGTACGGCCTCCCCGTGTACCTCTCCAACGAACTTGAAGGAGTACAAAAGCGGGTATGCGCATCATTTTTCCTCTTTGCTCATATAATGAGGCCTTGGTTGAATAAGGCCTAACTAAACTTTCAGACCGCCGCCAAGAAGTAGTTGATAAACTATTTAGGAATGTTTTACAGAAGGAACAGAACAAGCTCCATGAACTTCTTCCAGCTCGCAACACATGTACCTTTAACCTAACAAATATGCGGAAGTTTAAGCCAGCTTTAAAGACGAACAGGTTTCGTAGTAGTTTTATTACCTTTAACGCCCTTAAGGCTTGAACGGTTTTAGTAGATTCTTTAAGCCTCTTCTATATATATTTTTTTAGAACGTATATATAGTGTCCTTATTTGCTGTTTTAAATCACTTGTAGTCTTTTTAATGTAATTATGTTTAGTATATACTAAAACAGTGGATAGTGTTTTTCGCGCGCTCTGGTTAGCTACTCAATCAGTGAATATCCTACACTATTCACTGATTCACCTCCAGTTTCTCCGAACGAGCGGCGCCAAACTCGCGTAGGTTGAGAGCAAAATGCCTTCCCAGTTTGCTGCCGAAACAAACTAAGAAATTTCACAACTAATCAAGAAAGCTATTTCCGAAATACATGAAGAAGGTGACGAAGTTCGGTTTGAAAGTTTTAACAGGTAAAGCTTTTCGTGTTTTTGACTTGAATTTATCGATAAAACCGGTGAAAAAGTTTTTTGTTTACAAATGCAAATTAAGCTTAAGTCTTGCGTTACTTTATTTAGTTGACTTGTTCATAAATAAGCTTAAAACTAAATTGAATAATCTTTTTTTACAGAATTATTTTAAATACAAAAAGAATTCACAACTCCTTTCAAAGAAACTTCCCCGCAAGAGCTAAACAAACGCCTTCAAAAGTTTTATTTGTCGCTAAGAAAAAGCGACGACCGCGGCCGTTCGGGCATCGCGCGGCAAAATTGTAATCGTTGGCAACAGTAAATGAGTTAAAAATCATCTTTTTTGTGCTCAATTATCTCACTGTTTTAGTATATACTAAAACAATTATTCACCTCAGTGTCGGTGGCTAGTATTGGATATTTACCTCGCCGCTTCGCGGCCTCGGTAATTGTTTTATATTATAATTGTTATATATTCCATTTTTTTTGTAAATAATCGTATAATTCAACATTTAGTTGCAAATCGGTTATTAAATAATAAACTATCTATCTATCTATCTATCTATCTATCTATCTATCTATAAAATGTTTTTGTGACAGTCTTCGCACTGAAGGTGTAAATGGTTAATCGAGCGGTCGCTTTGATTGTCAAAAAGACCTGTCAACTTTGATGATTTAACTGATTAGATTACGGGACAGAAATTTTACTGCTTGCGGCTCCTCGGCGGGGCTTGCAATTTTAACATTTCTGCAAGTTAGGAATAAGAAAGTATCGAGCCGTGTGTCAAGTACGATTAATTATCGTTACTGACCATACCTACCAATTTCAACATGTCTACAGGCTAGGGATAAGAAAGTATTGAGATATGCTAAGTTCGGTTAATAAGCGCTCCTGACCATACCTACTAATTTCAACATGTCTACTGGCAAGGGATAAAGAATTATTGAGATGTGCCGAGTACAATTAATAAGCGTTCCTGACCATACCTACCAATTTAAATTGGCTATAGGCTAGGGATAAGAGAGTATTGAGATGTGCCAGGCACGATTAATAAGCGTTCCTGATCATACATTTCAACTTTAACATGTCCAAAGAGAAAGAGTATTAAGATATACCAAGTACGATTACCACTCGTTTCTAACCATACCTTCCCATTTCAACTTGTCTACTGGCTAGGGATAAAAAAGTATTTGGATGTGACAGGTGCGATTAATAATCGTTCCTGACCATACATTGCAGTTTTAACATGTCCATAGGCTAGGGATAAGAAAGTATTGAGATGTGTCAAGTACGATTAATACTCGTTCCTGGCCATACCTACCCATTTGAACATGTCTACAGGCTAGGAATAACGAAGTATTTAGATGTGCCAGGTACGATTAATAAGCGCTCCTGACCATATGTACTAATTTCAATACGTCTACACGCTAGGGATAAGAAAGTATTGAGATGTGCCAGGAACGATTAATAAGCGTTCCTGATCATACATTTCAATTCCAAACATGTTCACAGGCTAGGGACAGGAAAGTATTGAGATGAGCCAAATACGATTAATAAGCTTTCGTGCCCATGCCTTGCAATTTTAACGTGTGTGCAAGTTAGGAATAAGAAAGTATTGAGATGTGCCAAGTACGATTAATAAGCGTTCCTGACCATACCTACATGTACCAATTTTAACATGTCTACAGGCTAGGGACAGGAAAGTATTGAGATGTGACAGGTACGATTAAAAAGCGTTTGTGACCATAAATACCAATTTCAACAGGCCGACAGGCTAGGGATTTGAAAGTATTGAGATGTGCCAGGTACGATTAATTAGGGTTCCTGGCTATACGTACCGATTTCAACATGTCTACGGGCAAGGGATAACAAAGTATTGAGATGTGCCAAATACGATTAATAATCGTTTTTGACAATCTCTACCTAGTCTTACGCCCCCTGAAGGCTAAGGAAAGAAAGTACTGTATTGAGATGTGCCACATTTACCAGTTGCAACCTGTCTGAAGGCTATAAATAAGAAAGTATAGAGATGTGGCAAGTATGATTAATAATCGTTTTTGACAATCTCTACCTAGTCTTACGCCCCCTGAAGGCTAAGGAAAGAAAGTACTGTATTGAGATGTGCCAAGTACGATTAATTCTGATCACATTTACCAGTTTTAACCTGTCTGCAGGCTATTGATACGAAAGTATAGAGATGTGCCACTGAGTACGATTAATAATCGTCCCTGACCATATTTACCAATTTCAGCCTGTCTGGAAGCTATAGATAAGAAAGATGTGCCAAGTACGATTAGTAATCGTTTTTGAAGGATTCTTCCTCCATGTAGACTGTATTTCTTTCACACACAAATTAATTTAAGTTGTCATTCATATGGCTATTTTTCCTGAACGAGTTATTGCTGAAGAGGTTTCATTTAAAAATTACACCATAAACAGCTTCATGCCTATGACGTAGTACTGACAAAGAGGTTTAATTTGGATAGTCACACATGTAGGTTTTCGTCAAAAGATTCCAAATTTAAAACCGCGCGAAACATAAACTATACATGTGAACGTACTACTAGAAAGGTTCGATTTTGATAGTCACATCATCTAATTTTGTCCAGAGACCAATAGTTAGAACTACATGCGAAATAGCTAGTTTCATGTGAACACGCTACTGAAGAGGTTTTAATTTAAATGGTCAAACTATTGGATTTCGTCGACGGACCAGTCACTGATGTAAGATTTCGAACTAGAACTCGAATCAGTAAAACATAAACAATTACAGTCATGTAAACGTGCTACAGATAAGGTTTCATTTGAACAGCCGATCACATCACAGCATTTTACAACAGAGATAAACTAGGGACTATTTTTAAAATGTCTCTATTATTGAATCTGGAAGTAAAAAGATTAACTTTAGCGCAAGTCTCAGAAGATTGTAGTTTTCTTCTTTGAATTTCCGGCCTTTTCTGTAGAGTGAGCAATAGGCGTCAGTTCCAAGGCCACAGCCTGCTCATTACCATGGAATTCTTCTAGTTCTATGTTGCCCTCACTCCCCGACGAACCACCGTAAATCTCTGGTTTCAGCATCCGTTCTCTCTCCTCTGATTCAGGATCCAATTGATCTTCCATGTCATCTGGTAATGGAGGTAAGGGATTGTTTGCAATATTTTCACTTGATCGCCTATAAGAAGAAAACAACACTGTCAACCATAGTAGATTCCTATAAAATTGACCATACATTTTAGATCATGCGCACGGTTATAGAAGGCAACGTGAATCACACTAAAACATTTTACGACAAGCCGATAATTCTGTGAGGCAAGATCGCAATGCTCTATTTTATTATCACTATTTCAAATCTTGATGCCAACCGCAATGGACTGGAGACATGATTTGTACGCAGCGAACGGAGTTAGATTTTCTCAGTCTGAGGTTTATACGCTATTACGCCTTAAATGTCAAAAATAAAAGGCGTTCACGTTGATTAAGCGTCTTCCCCTAAATATTCGCCTGCCAAACTGAAAAATAAGAGTCTCCTTGAATAACAATCACCTCCAACACACAGTCTTAAATATATTAATTAACAGTTAATGAATGAGGCTGAGTATCTTATGAAGAATTATGAAGATCGAGGAGGGTGTTATCCGTCGAGGCTGTAGGCCGAGACGGATAGCACCTTCCGAGATCTCCATAATTCTTCATATGATACGAAAGCCGAATTCAATAACTGTTTTATTATTCATTCAAAATAATTCCTAGTTTAAAATCATAGCTATAACATGCATACCTCCATCGATTCATCGATGTTCAGTTCATCTTCGATAGTGTACGTTTAGGTTTGTCCAGCTCCGCAAATATTCTCCAAATAGCAGATGTCGCCCTTCGAGTTGTCTTCTTGCTGTTCTTGCCATGTTTTTAGCTATTTTTTCGCCTAGTTCCTACTCTTGAAATGAGTGAAATGTTCGCTATTTTTTCAAGATCACAACCAAAACAACTCAACCTCGTCCCCAGGTCTTCCCGGTTAACGGTGCCTTAACCTGCGAAAACGCTGCATTTTTGACGTCATTTCCTCGTTAAAGTCAAATTTCTTCCAAATTTGGTCATCAGTGACTGGTTATGGTGAATTAAACGTGTGCTTTTAGCCAATCAGAATCGGGAAATATTTTGAATGAATAATAAGTGATGTTATAAGGGAACCTCCTCTCTTCTCTCATTCTCTGAAAGCTTGTTTACCTTTGATTAAACGGCGGCATTGACATAAGAGAACAGTTTCTTATTACCCACTCGTTCGGCTCAATTTTAAATTTACCGTGCACAAGACCATTATCTGTATCCACGAATTAAGCAATGTTATTTATCACGTAACGAGTCCCTTTCGTTCTTTGCCATGACTATGCATGTGTCTCATTAACGATATACTGTCTCCTCAGTACTCCTTTGAAGAACCTTTTTCTTCCCCGAATAACCGCTCCCTCAGTGGCCAAGCTAGTATATAAGCAGGAGTGGCCCTACCTATCAGTTATTGAGATAACATAACATAACGTATTTATTGTCGAACTAATATTGGGAAGTTCTTTAGCCTGGGACTTGTTGGCTCCTTTATGGGTACGAAATACCTGGTATGGACAAGCCAACTCGCTTGTGGCTGAACTTTTCAAGAATAAAAGCCAAATGCTTAATCGAGAGTACTAACCTGTCATAAACATTTGCTCTCGTCACAGGAACGGTGGGGTCTGAATCATGTGGATCAAGGTAGTAATCTTTTATGCCAAGGTTGTTGTTGTTTTCTGTTAAGTGAAGGTACTCGGTCGCGACACTCTGTTGTGAAAAATAAGCCCAATATCGAAGTTTAGACTAAACATACCAGCCAGGAGCCCATAACCCGGAGTGAGCAACTTCCATACTAGGCCTATGTCATTGCGTTTTCATGGATCACTTTATTTTTAGACACATTTTAAGGGGCACTTCTTCCCACGAAAATAAACTCTCCACCATATCTATGAGCGCATTTGAAGTAGAAGATTTCAAAACGGAAACCTAAACGTTATTAAAATGCAGAAAATACCATTGTTAGGTCTGTAGGTTTTGCTGACTAGTTTGTGAAATTTAACAGATATTCAAAATTCGCGCCAAAACCGTTCTAAAAATAAACTGGTCCGTGAAAACGTCGTGACACAAGGGCATGGAAGTTGCTCACTCCGGGTTATGGGCTCCTGACCGGCAAAAGATGCGCATCTCTCATAATCTTTCTTTCAATTGGCAGTCGAAATTCTCTGATCTTATAGCATTGTAATTTTTATAATCTGCATAGCTTTAGCATCTGCATTGCGCAAGTCTAAAAAAAATACAGCGTGCAGATCGTGTTATATCATTCCATGGCCGATCTACTGGAGAGGCCAAGGGGCCCGGGGGCCCAGGGCTCCACCTTCTTTATAGGTCAAACTGCAGTCTACGGGGCTAAATGAGCGGGTCCCCCACTTAGTTAGAGATTTGAATCCACCACTGTCATTGCAAATATTGTAATTTTTTAAAGAGCACACAGTATAAGTCATCTCTTCATATTCTTCCCGCAAAGCTTAATTTCCGCTCGCCCCATCAGAACAAAGGATATATACACTCAAGAGAGTATCCCCTTTTGATAAACTTCATTTTTTCCTTTGAAGGACCTAGTGTACAATAAGTTCTGACGAGAGAGAGGATAAGGTCTCTTAGTTCCTCCTTTGCCTCAAAAGCTGTAGAAAATAGGCCTCACCTGGGAAGCGCGTTGCTCAAGTATTGTACCAATCGACTGGCTGATTTGATCAAATTTAGGTCGCTTGTCGAGTCCTTCCTGCCAGCAATCTTGCATAATTTTGTAGATCTCTGAAGGGCAGTCTCGGGGATTTTCCATACGGTTTCCATCATTGAGAAAGCCTAGGAGCTCTTCTACGGGTATAGTGGGATACGGTGTGCCGCCCAGTGTAAAGATCTCCCACAAGCAAATACCAAACGACCATCTGCATTATTAAATGTCAAGGTTCAAAACAGACACATTCGAAGGGTCATCACAGCCTGGGTCATTCCAAACCAAAAGGGTGTCAATAAAGCTTTGTAAGCTGTTTAAGCTAAACTATGGACTCGAGGAAACAGATGGTAAGCTGCTATTAACTCCACTACAAGGGAATTATTGGAATCAAAGCTTACCTGGCTTGCATATGAAGCGCTACATTCAAGAATCGTTATCAGTGGTATTGTTTTTCTTTCGAGTACTATTTATAAAACACGGAAAACGTTATCTGCTGTGTTTACATGCCCTGATATAAACACGAGATTCGGGTGTTGGGAGAATTTAAGAGAATTCATGCAAATTGCAAACCACAGAAAAACAGTTTTCTGCTACGGTTCTTTTATAGCGGCAACTTTCCCGAGAAAAAGTTGCTACCTAGCTCTTTGCTTATGGCGCTGATGAAAAGAGCAGTTCTTACTAGTCGCGAAGTGTTGTATCTACACGAAGTTTTGTACGTGTAATCAGTACGTTTTTGTTTTGCGTTTATAATAAAGTTCAGATATAACGTGCACTCTGATTTGTTGCAAAAGCGTGCTTTATGCGAGTATAAAACATGCTGACAACACTCTTTTGCGATAAAAAGAAAATAAAGATTGTTTTGAAAATTAAAAACGAATGTGTGGGGAATTTAACAGATTCTTTATACCGTAAATCCTCTATTAAGCCCCCCTCTCAAATAAGCCCCCCTTCTCTAATAAGCCCCCCCACTTTCAGAGGAGGAAAGTTAATAAGCCCCCTCTCTCTATTAAATCCTCTATTAAGGCCCCTCTCAAATAAGCCCCCTCTAATAAGCCCCCCCTTTTTTCAGAGGAGGAAAGTTAATAAGCCCCCCCTCTCTATTAAGCCCCCTCCCCCAATCCTTATTCTTCACAAAACAATTAACGACGATTAACGTGGGCTGATCAGTTATGGTTTATTCAGGCTGTAAGTTCATATTGTTTTGGTCTTCGGCCGCATGACCTCCAACTTCATGTGCTGAACTTTCTCAACTTTGCGCTCTACTTCTCTGTGGAGAATTGTCACCATTTTCTTATAGTATTATAGTATCATAAATTTCAAGGCTGTTTATATAAAACATTTAAATGTAAGAGATAAAAAATGCAAATATAAGAGGAGTTTTCAAGAGATTTTCGTTTGTAAGTTGGGTACGACAAATCAATACAAGTAACCATTCTCATAAAAATTACCGCAGAACATGAGGCCGAAAGCACATTTTTGAAGAATAAGAATTTTGTTTTTGTTACTTTTAGGCTCCCACAAGTGAATTAAATACTTTTGACGTTGACTGTAATTGTACAACGCGTAAGTCTACCCTGTCTCATACCACGTTATATTTGCTACAGGTGATGCGTTTCGCTAAATTAGAGAAGCCCCCCTCTCTTTTAAGCCTCCCCCTCTCTATTAAGCCCCCCCCCCCTTAAAGTGGTTGAAAAAAAAAAGCCCCCGGAGGGGCTTAATAGAGGACTTACGGTATTCATAAAACAAATAAAGAAGTCTTGACTGAGCTCTATTCTGTTCTACTCAAGAAGTAGAGAGGAACAGTCGACTACATCTCGTGTTCCCCTCTACACTTCTTTCGTGTTCTAGCCGCTGCCAGTCGTGCGTGATTTACAACGTAGAGAACAGAGCACAGTGAAGGTGATATTTTAAAGGACGGATTGATCTCCCTTAAAATGTCGTCTTGAGCGTAAAAACTTTGATATAGCATGTTTTTAAAGATTTTTCAAGTTCCATGCCTCTTAGTTATGGGTTAATAAAGTAAACTTGTCGAGTTTTTCAAACCATGGTTGCGTGGTTGCGTTTAACTGTGTTACTCGCATGCAAACATACTTCTCAGCCAATCGGAGAGCGCCTACTAAACTATGTTATGGCAAGTTTAACTTAATTGCAGTAATCAAAAGGCCAGCTTCTTTTTAATTTTAACGCCTAGTTACGCACTAATTATATAGTTGTCATCCTTGACTACGATCCTCGCATATTTTCATATTCTCCCTTCATTCATTTTTTTAAATGTCATTTGTACTTACACATCACTTTTCTCTGAGTACTCCCTCAAAAACAATGATTCTATCGCCATCCACTTCATTGGCAAAACACCACTGTTCGTCTTCACATATAAGTCACTCTTGTAAATATTTCGAGCGAGACCAAAGTCAGCGATCTTCATGACGTAGTCTTCTCCAACAAGAACGTTTCTGGCTGCCAAGTCTCGGTGAACACACTATATAAAACAGAAATGTTTTGAAAGAAGAAATGCAAAATCAAGACATCAGAAACAAGAAGGAGATAATAATAATAATAATAAGTCCGCTAATTTTAAAAAATCGATAATGGGGTAAGCTTGTAAATTAGTGTTTTATGATCTTAGTTTTAATATTTTTATTTCATCAAAATTTTAGTCTATGATAGTGGAATGTAAATTGGTCATATGTTAATAAAGATTTTTGCTATTTCAAAAAGTAATAATAATAATAATAATCATCATCACAGTAAAAACAGGAAAAACAATTTTTATACCAACAGAGAAGTGCACACGCTGCAGAAAGTAAAAGTAAATAAAGACTAAACATTGTTAAACAATGCTCTTCACGTACTCTCGAACGCTGAATTGTCAGTGAGAAACCAACGCTACAGACCCTTTCGTCTTCGCTTCTTTCGCTCCCGGTTCATGGCTGATTTAATGTCACAGCTGTTGCGCACGCTTCTGAGTTCCCGTAACCTTTTCTGCTACATGTTGCTTTTTGTAATCCTTTGCGCGAGCTTTTGGCTACTGAGGTCTTTTCTCTCTGAGTTACTTTACTTTTTACCATTTATTACTCATAATAAACTCCTACAGTGCGAATACTCGAAGCTGGGCTTTTGGAAATAGATTATCCAAACACAAATCATAATAATCATGGTGGTTTTTGAAAACGGAAGATTCTCATTAAATTTGAGGGCCAATTCCTGAGAGGTCAGGTAAGTTCAAAAGGTTTTTAAGTTATCAACAGTTTCATAGTTGCACATTGAATTTTTTTTGGTCTGTTTACATTGGGTCTTGTTTTCAAAAAACAAAAAACGGTAAGCTCAAACGATTTGATTGGATAATAATCTTTCAAGCGCCCCGGTTCAAATAGTCATACTCTTTTAAACGCGAAAAACAAACAAGTAGGCGCAGATTTAGAGTCGAATGAACGATTTAAATCATGACAAAACTCCTTGGAGCCAAACGGAGAAAACAAGCAAGTGCTGGAGAATAGACCTTTTTAGCTTGTATGTTTTGTCTTCCCTTTTCAGACCACTTGATGGTACCTCAGAGAACCGTTCCTTTCAAAAGTTCTCCTTTGCTCGTGCATCCATGAGCATATGTATGTATATTTTATGAAAAGACAAAACGCCTTGAGAACATCACGTGGTGTGAAATGGAAAAATAAAACATAAGCCAAAAAGGTCTATTACAACCAAGAGCCACTACAGCTCTTTTTAGAACTGAATTTCCTTCAGAAATGTGGGAATCCTTGAACGGGGCAACATTGCTACATTACCTTTTTAGACGCCAGGTATTCCATTCCACGGGATATTTGGTAAGAGTAGTTTACAAGATTTGATATATTCAATCCTATCTCTGGGTCACTCGCAGTCGTAGTCCAGGTTGCTTCATAAACATCTCGCTTGCCTCGTAGGAACTTTTGTAAACTCCCATGTGGTGCATATTCCAGAATGACAAGGATACGATCTCGCTTGATACAAGCACCAAGGAGGTTTACAATGTTTTTGTGTTCTCCAACGCAAATTAGAATTTTCAGCTCTGATGCCAGGTCTCTTACTTCCTCTTTAGTAGCTTCCCCTGAAGTGCCAAAATATAGTACTCGGTCAGTTAAAAAAAGTGCAGTTTCCACAGGGTCTAGTGGAGTCCATGTGACCATGTAACAAGCAACGTTCACTTTAACTGGGCACAACCTCAGCAATAGGAATGAGCACGAACGGTACTCATGCATGAGAGAGGCCCTATGCGAATTGCCCACCTCACCCATGCTGAATCCAGGGGCATGGCTGGAGTTTTTTCCACTGGTAGGCGCAGATTCCCAAATCAACCCTACCCCGTCTCCCACATCATTACCGCGCAGGTAACCTGGTAACTCGTCCCCTCCCCTGCATATTATCAGCTGCTAGAGTAACTATAAACCAAATTCCTTTTTTGTCCCCCTCCACCAACCCCGGACAAGTACCAGCCATCCTTGCTCCATGGTGGATGTTACACAACTTGAAATAGAGATCTCTTGACTTGAAACATTACCTTTAACAGTCTTTACAGCTACGATGGTCTTCGTGTACGCACTGCCTCTGGGATCGTGGTACGCATGGCCGGCCCTGTGTTGACGAAACATTTTAGGCCACCGCTGACTTTTCTTTTGACTTTTGTCTCTGGGACTAAAGTTGTTTATTCCGATAGCCTCTGCTTTAATGACTTTTCCGAAGGCCCCTGATCCTAACAACTCCCCAAGAATGAGCTTGTCCTCAGGAAACTCGAAATCAGGGTCATAAGGCAGATCATTACATTGTTCAAGCAGTGTACGATTAGGGTCAATCTAAAACAATCAAGAAATATTTTATTAAACGTATACAGTATGGACCTATTTAGTCTAAGCAATGGTAAGTTCATTCCCTCCAACTGGAAACTGTTTGGTTCATGAGTATTACCTGAATTTAGAAGGCCATTTCAGGGCGATGGATCACTTTTTTAGTCGAGTCAAAGAATAAACAAAAGCCAGTTTAGGTTTGAAAAGTAGACTTAAATTTATGGCCACTCGGCAAAGAAACTAGGCACCTCGTTCACGGTAGGTCGACAAAAAAAGTCGTGACTATTTTTGCGGAACAGACTGGTTCATAGCCTGAAATGAAATGAACAAAATGTCCGCCATCTTTACTATCCGTGAGTATATATCTATTTTAAAACGAGGAGCAATCTATGGTTGCAATTTTGCAAATTATGTCTGTCGACTGGCCTCGAACAAGCAACTCAGATGCTGATAAATGTATAATCATTCATTTCTCAAAAGTGTCCAACACCATGAGAGTTTACACGAATGTACGTAAAGTGGCCATAAGTAAAGCAACCCTCCACTTTCGAAAGGTTACTAAGGATTTTAAGCAAAAGAGAGTGGACGACGGTAACGAGAAGGTAAACCAGTAGCGGGTCGGATTAACAACCAAAAACGACAACTTTGCACGGGCTATCAAACTTAATTGCACGACTACGACGTAAAAAATTAGTCCCAATGTGCGTTTTGCGAAGGACGTTACGCGGCATAGACAATAATTTTTTTATTACCTTTTTTAACTTGGCTGTCCATAGAAATTCAACTACTCCACGTAAAGTCACCTATGTTTCACATATCAAAGGAAATGACGATAATCGAGATGAAGTTTGAAAGATCGCAAATTCATTTTATTTTCGCCGTCATGTTTGAACAAAGGTTGAGAGACGTCTGCTTATAAAACCCCTTCTCTAAATTGATTGCTCCTCTGAGACAAAATTTTCACAAGTACAAGAAATCCCCCTTCTCCGTTTTTTCGCGTTTAAAGTTGTCATTGTAGGTGTTGAGCATGATCTTGGAATGGGAGGGGTGTGAAATTTAAGCAGTCCAACAAACATCATTTTTAGCCAAAATAAGTTGCAGAATCCAAGCAGGCACTGGTTGTTATGTAGTGGCTTCATTTTAAGCTCGTTTTACATGGTATTTTACCTGGTGTTTTCCAGTGTATACTGGAAAAAACTGATTACGATACTCCACAATCTGCTTCCGCTGATGTTGTTTAAAGCAAAAAAAGGCGAACCCAAGGACGATACAGAGGAACAGGATTGCTACGACAACAGAGAGGGCAACAGTGGCGTCCATCCTAAGAACTTCTGTTGGAGATAGATTTGGGTTAGAGCTGGTTGAGACTAGAAAATATTCAAAGACAATATTGCTTATTGCTTCAGTTAAATTACATTATTATACATCAGACTCACTATGAAAAATCTGATTGGTCGAGAGCATTCAATCAATTCACAATAGCTTGTGAACTTGACATGATAAATGCAATATCTGCTGCAGATGTTGCATTTATCATGTCAAGTTCAACGTCTGCCTGGTTACCAAGCCCCTCAGAGTAGATGATTTATCTGTTATCCGAGTAGGCTCAGAAATGAGTTGGTGGAGGCCATAAATATCAGCAATGTTTATTAGTTGACGGATATTGTTGTCGTAATTGGTTGAGGCCATATCGGTGTTCATATCACCAAGTAGGAAAAATTCATTATTTTGAAATCAACGCGCGCCTAAAGCTGGTTTCGGTGCCGTTTATCGCAGTTTAGTTTTCTATGGCACCTTGAGAAAAGTTTCCCGGAGAGCATCATGTAAAGCTCTGAGATGGGACAAAGTTATTACGATTCGCAGAGTCTGCATCGTCCAATATCGTATTATATTATCGTTTCATTTGGCTAAACCGATAAATCACCCTGATCCGGGCTGAGACAGGAAGGTACGATATTGTTCGCTTTTCTAAGGTGACCACTTAGTCTTTGGCCTCGGGAATAGGCTCTTGGGAGTCAAATGAATTAGGTGAGAGCCAAATTGCAGGTGAACTTTGACCCGGACCAAGACTTTTTCTGGTGTGAAAACAAGGCTAAGGTGATCCGCCGACCGTGTGACTCTACATCCGGGAACTTGAGTAAGACGAGTGTAAGTGAAAAGCCCAGAGGTGTTTATCTGGCAATAGGCTGAGTTTTTCCGAGTTATTCATGATATTTCGCTTATGTTAAACGTGAGAAGATTATGCGTGGTTGTGGATAGTCTTATCAGTGCCGCGAAAGTGTGTGATTGTGTGATTTCCGCATGATATCGACAGGTATGTAATCGCGTGGTTGAACAAAAATATTCTGTGCCAGCCATTAATATTGTTTCGTCGGTGTTTAGCTTAGCTGATTGTACCTTGGAAAAGTAACTCTCGACTCAGGAAAATTGGATCTAGGTCTAGTTTCAGCGGACTCTAATGGCATTGCACCATAGGCCGGTTTTTGCAGATAAGAAGGTGACAATTTGTGCACTATGTTTCATTCAGTTTGTTGTCTATTTCATGCGGAATCCTGTTGTTTATCGGACCGCGAAAAAAGTAGTGTTTTGCTAACTATTTGAGTTGTTATGTAAACCTTAACCAGGCACTCGTTCGCTCCAGTTCACTCAACTTAAAAATTCTGGACTGAAATGACACCGGTTTGAAACTTCGCGAAGTCAGTTTACTGAATACATGTTCTAAAATTTGCGTCATTTTAAATTTGGACTCGTTGGAATGCTTCTAGGGACCATTAACTTACTACCCGGCGTCAGGTAAAGGCTTTTAATCGGCCTTTGAATAAATTTTGTTGTTTTAAATTGCCACGTGGTAGAGTGAGTTGATATTTTTGCTAACCCGGTTTTCAAAAATCCAGGTATATATTTGATATGTATATTTTTATTTCGTCTTATTTACTCCATTCATATAATCCAAGTTTTTTCATTTGTCTGTGTTTTAACATGGCCTCTTTTATGGATCAAAAAAAGCTTGGGCGACGCCCAGATCGGTCTCCTTTAGGGGTTTAATTCAAAATTTCCGACGAGCATCCCCATCCCTTTCATATGCGGAGCCACCCCCCCGGAATTTTACTGGAACCGTACTGTGGTACTATCACAGAGCCTGGGTTACCTTTGGGCCTAGCCGGGATTAATACACTATATTTTGTTAATTTGTGAAAATGTGTCTTTAGACTGGAGCAGGATGCAACTTTTTGGTAATTACGGGTGTCAGTAGAACGCGGGTCGGGGTCTATCTTCTTTTTAAAGAATGCTGTTTTAGGGTTAGGGTTAGGGTTCGGGTTGACACTAACCCTAACCCTAACATAACCCTAATCCTAACCCTAAAACAGTACTCTTTAAATAAAGAAATAGACCCCGACCTCAGCCCCGGCTGCGACCCTGCGTTTTACTGACACCCGGTAATTACTTTTGAATTCCGGCATAACAGTCCAGCGACTCAGGGGCCGACTCAGTGTGGTTCTGTTTTCTTCCACTGTTTCGTATTATTTGAAAAGCGATAAGATCTGGATACTATTTTTAGATTTGGTTGGCAATTCAGTGGCGGATCCAGGGGAGGGGTCCGGGGGCCCCGGGCCTCCCCGTTATTTTTGGACCAAACTGAGACCTGATAGGTCGAAAAAAAATTTTTAAGGCCGCCCCCCCCCCCTTATCTCAGGGTCTGGATGCATGACCGCCCCCACTTATCTGAAGGTCTGAATCCGCCACTGCAATTAGTCCCATTGCAACACTATACTTAGTGACTACCCATTAACATCACTGACCTGTTGAAGTTGAGCTAGTGGTCTTTTGTGACGATGGTGTCGAAGAATCTGCAAATAAAGTTGATAAAGGGGAAACGTCCTCAACATATTACTTTCATCGATAAAAAAAGGAAACTTCAAATGAAAAGAGAAAGAAATACGATTACTAATAGAGGTAAACATATGAGTTACGGTGTTGGTTCTTATATATATGCTTGTGTTTAATGTAGTTGTCATTACAACGTCCCTTTTTCTTTTTTTGTTTTTGGTCAATTGTATCCTTTGCCTTTGGTACGACTCTTGTGTAGCTCTTTGAAATTTATAGATTCATATTGATATCATATCGGGGGAATTAAAACAGAAAACGCAAGATTCCATGCACTGATTCAGCCCCAAACAAGCAAGACGAGTGAACAACGGCTAGCTTCTCACTAGCAGAACGATCGACGATTACAGACATTCGCCGACAATCAAATTCTCTGCTGACTTATTCCCTGCTCACAGATGTCCTTCCGCTATAAAGTTTAAAATAAGACTAGAATGCGCGAGCGTGAATTGATCAAACGTCCTTTTAATTTCTAAGGCTTCCTTTCCGGCAAATAAAATGAACTGAATGTAAAAAGTGAAAGGGAAATAGCGAAAAATTCAACTTCTAATTAAATCTTTTCTTATGGTTTAGAATAAACTATTCTCGAAACTGAGAAAGTTTTGATTAAAGCTGTGTAAATCGACCTGAAACTGTGCATGGAACCTTGCGTTTCCTGTATTTATCTCACCTATTGTATGGAATATGTGTGAAAATCTTCCTTATGAATCAGTATATTTCAAAGAGATAAACATCGAGCAAGAATAATAATAATAATAATCTTTATTGAGGATATCAATTTCACTGATAAGTGATTTACAAAAGAGTCCTCAAAAAAATTTAAAAAGAACAAAAAGGAAAAATAAAGACTAATATATGAATATATAAAAATTAAACTAAAAACTATTTACATTTCTTAACACTCTTTTAAAACTAGCTAAAGATGGGCTTTGTCTGATTGAAAGGTCTAATTTATTCCAATCGTTTGAGGCAAAGTTTGTCGAGGTCCAATGGCCCAAGTTCCTATTAGATGCACTCTTACGGATATTGTTTTTACATCTAGTATTATAATCATGTTTATCCTTATTGAATTCAATATTGAAACGATGTGAAAATAAGTTATTTAAACATTCATATATTAGGGTTGAACTCGAGGTCTTGAGGGCTACTTAAAATCGTTTGCCCAGGGCTTTGTTTCGATTTTCTGATAGATTGGGGCCTAGTCAAGCCGTAGAGAGTCAATTTGCGAAATTTTAAGTTATTGTTGGTTTTCACATGACGTCACTAAAATTCAAACTAAAAAACTATCGATCCTACCGAGATTTTACTTTTATGATGCATTAGAGCAGCTGAAAGCTAATTTTCATACAAATTTACGCTTCAAAAGGGTTCTTGGTTTGTAATAGAGTACGCTTGACTTTCTAAGCTTTTGCGTGACGCGGCATTTACATGACGGCCAAGAAAAACAAAGACTTATTTTAGGAAATTTTGCTATCTAAACAGTTCATGTATTAGAAAAAGTGTTACTTTAATGTTTATGAGTTTCTCGAAGAATAAATTCACGCTTTTGTAGCAAAACTCGGTAACAGATGTTTCTGTTGGTTTCCGTCCGACATGTTGGAGCTCATCCAGGTGAGCACCAGCACGGCGTCTCCATACAAATCTCTATAAGTTTGGGTAAAACATTTCTTCGGATATCTCGTATACGAAATATTCCTCTGACCTGAATCTTGGCGAGGGCCCTTGTATATGTACCTCCTTTCATTTCCCAGATTCTGGACTTTATCTATTAAACGGTTTTGATTTCCATTTTGATCTATTTTGAATGGCGCGACACTGAAAACCAGCAATAGCGCATTGTAAAAATTTGCATTATTTTATCCCTATAATTTTAAACGGTAGAAATTGCATTGTCAATACGGCCTATTTTTAACAATACCTTTTCGGCCACAAGATTGTGACAGCTTTCTCAAATTTATCGTGTTATAAGAAAGAAAGGGTCATAAAAACTATTCATGTTTTTCAGAGGCTGCCAAATCGTGGTGGTTTGACGTACGAGTCAATGAAATTTGTGTAAAATTTCGCTTTACCGGAAGTGGATTTTGAGCTCCGAACGGGCAAAATGAGTTTTCCCAAAAATGAGCGAAATCAAATTTTGAACTTGTGCCGACCGTGGGTCGATATTTACGGAAAGCCGCTCTTAAATGTAATCTGTTTTACAGGTGTTTCGCTGATAAAAAAGCTCAACCCCTGAGAGCCCTGAGTTCGAATAACTTTGACTCGCAATTAGGCTTGATTACCAACCGCTGTTTGGGAAATGAGCCCCCAAAAAATCGAGCAAACTCGCAGTTATTCCACGGAAATGCATATACTGATGTCGTGCTGACCTGTTTCGTCGACGCGTTTGGTGGCATAGTTCTATTTGCTGGCCCGTAAACATTGCATGCCTCGAGGAAAAACATGAATTCAAGGAACTGTTGGATGCCATCAACGCATTAAAGGAAGGTAAAGCCCCTAGAAGGTGTGGTATACCTGCGGAAATCTGGAAACAT